TCCTTATCTTATAAAATAATAAATACCCTGCCACACGAAACATGACTTATAGAAAATATGCGATGGTTTATTGTTATAAACCTATAAAAAGGATATGTCTATGATTTGAGGAAATATCAATGCCATGCAGACCTGTAGGTTTTACTAAGATGACTATTATTTCATAGTTAGTAGTAGTTTATGAATAAGAAAAACAGTAACTACAAAATATACCATAAGATATTCGATTATAATCGCACAGATGGGTTCAACTTCACTGCATTGATAGTGACTTCAGTTAAATGCAGTTTGTTGCAATTCGTTTTGCAGGAACAAGTTTTCGACGAACAATTTTATATGTACCTTCATGTGTATTTTGATAGCACTTCTTTTCAAGATTATTTAAAAGGTTAGTTCCAATATTGAAGATTGTTTAACCATTTTTATTGTAAACCGAAATAGTAGTTTACGCAACGATTGCGTAAATATAGTGTCAACGACACGAGTACAAAATTTAAGGGTACGATCCATGACGAGTGCCTTAAAAACTTCGACGACTGTCGTTAACACAATTAACGCTAGTTGCGTATACACTACTTTACCTACGACGGTGTTTTAATTACTAAAAATCACTTCTCATAACTTCTAAGGGAGGGTTGTATTCGTTTATAACCTCTCCTTACCACTGACAGTGATGCGACGTGACATTGTACCAAAACACTAATTGCATCATTTAACAATTAAATTGGCCTAAACAGCTGATTAGTTGAAGTTCAAATCATTACAATTTTACTAATTCTCTCTTAATTCTTGAACCTCATTGGTCCGTTACCCGTGTTGTTATTAGTAATACTATATTGTTAGGAAAGTAAACAATGCTGTTATGAGAAACTTTTCAATTCTAAGAACTGAACTGAAACAATTACTTTAAAAAATGGTTTTAGGTCAAATATGTTACATTTTAATCGAAAGGATCCATATCACGTTTTATTAATTGTAATAGAGTCTAGCACAACTAAATTGTAAACTTTGCACATAAAAGTCTTATAGTAATAGTGTGGCCAAATCTGCAAAAAGGAAAATCGTATTGTAAAATGTACACAGAAAAATAGATTAAATGCTTCATACTTTGTATAAAATAAGTATTAAGCTTTGTTTCGTGAATAAAAAACCGTTATGATAAATGTATGCTAAATGTTAGCAGCATACTTTTTAAAGTTATATAATACGGATCATAAAAGGGCATTCCTGCAAGTTTAACTTATTATACTTAAGATCTAAAACTATTAAATAGATTAGTACAACATACGTCAATTGGTTTCATACCATATAATAATACATTAATATACATGCATTACTTATAAATTTTGAAAGAATCTGTGTATCTCTTTTGACCCAATAACCCCTTTTAACAAACGAGAAAGGGATTGTGTAGTAAGAAAAACGCTACTCCTTTGAACCGTTAAGCCGCAGAATCCCAAAATTATTTATTAACAAAAGCTTTTACCCTTTTTGTCTGATTGTTTTACAGTTGGCTCAATTCCATGAAACTCAATCTTGGAATAAGATTTTAAAAACTGCTTTACTGTTTTCCTTTAGTGAAAAATGAAGTTAAACACATATAAGAAAATAGTTGCAAGAGTTTCCTTGTACTTAATAGTATCACAAATATTGGTTTGTAATAAAGAATTATATTACATTAGAGTGAAAAAGTAATTTTATGTTTTATAATGATTTTGTGACTTCAATATCTTGAAATACAATATTTGGGTTTATACATCTTGGTTGGGACTTGGCCGAATTGGTAGTTAGAGTGCAGGATTTTGTCTTGATGGCCTGAGTACGAATCTCGCCAATCACAAATAATGGTTTGCCATGCAGTAATAGTGTTTGCTAATAATTAGGAGCAAAGCAAAGCGTGAAGTTCACCATCTAGGAAACACGTAGATGTTCCAGGCAAGGAACTCTTTTTCTGTATTACAGAGATCTCTTTGCTAAACCTTCATACCAAAACATTTCATAGGCTATACAATGTTGTATGCACTATCCCTTACTCATTTTCAGTTGAATGGACGAATTGAATTGTTAAAAAACATGGTCAAGACGGGTTCAGCCAAGGAAAGTGTGAAAATAAACCTTTATTAATCAGGTCTCACATTTAACTTGATTTTGAGTGGATAAAATTACTAAAATTGTTAGGCAAATATTTGTTAAATATTTGTTAACGATAGTCTAATTTTGTAATAGTACCTTGTACCTCGCGGTTGACTGGCAATGCAAGAGTGGTTGGAGCCTGATGGTTCTTTTACTTTAATTTTACACGGTAATATTATTTGTTTGGTGCATTAATAGTTGCCTATATTTCAATACTAGACCCAAAAGTGACACATTTCCACTAGCTAGATAATGCCAAAGGACAAGTGGTGTTTGGGACAGGCAAAATCATATGTTTTGATGGATGGAAAACCAAAGGTGTAGTAAATCTCAGCTGTGTGGATATTATTTGTATACAGAGTGATACAAAGTATATTTCAATACTCGTAAAAAAAAAGTAAAATTTTAGCAATTAACGTCTTGTGGGAAAAAGTATAGACAAAAACGAATAAATAGAATTTTACTTATAACTTAAGTTAAGTAAATTCTTCTTTTAACAGCCCCGTGCTTCTAACAAACTCCAAAAACTATGATAGAGGACTCGAATGCCTAGTCAAGATCTGCTCAAGGTACAACGCATCTTCGTTACTTGGTGCCATTAGCGTTTCACTAAATACAAGATACTAAATCATCACCAGTCGAGTGTTTTTTGTACTGGAGTGAAATTTGATTATATCAAACAATTATGTCAAACAGTTTGTACAATAATAATGCTTATCCCTTTTGTATCTCGGTCTAGTCCTGAAGACAGAAATTCAACTATATACATTGACCGCGGACGAATACCTTTAAAACCGACATTCCCTTAAATATTTTAAGCTTGGAATTTTTCTATAACACTTTGCGATGGATGTTCCTTTGTTAACTACAGTTGGTTCTGGAATTAAAGTTGAGAAATTTGGTAAAATACCTAATGTTTGTAACAAATTAACGTTCCCTTTTAATTAGATTCAAAGAAAAGAACAGTAGGCCTAAAACCTTTTAACTTTCAAATTTGGAGTTTAATTCTGCAATTCAAATAACATTATTGCTTTTTTAAATCGTGAGACCTGTCAGTTAAGACACGATTTCATCGGAAAAAGAATACCATATAATTAATTAAATACTAATAATATGTATTACATATTTAATGAAAATCCCTATTTGTTCAGTTTTGAACATTTAAGCCTGATTTGCCAAAAACTAATGAGTTTAAAGATCGAAGATGGTAAATTTATAAAACATAAAGAAAATTTACCAATTTCATTTGATTATGTGAAATCAGCTAATAGCTAAACGCTAAAAACTTTGCTACGGTATGTTTTGCGTGATAAATTACAGCTGAACAATCATAGTAAATATTGAATAATTATAAATAACGATATAGTGTATTGTAGTATCTAATAATATATGCAATTCACATCTACTACTTAAGATAGGCTACGTCAATAAAATTATTTTAATGTCATACTAATTTATTTGATATGCACGTTTTACAGTTTATTACGCCAAAGATTGTAATGACATTTTAATGGCCAACAGATAACCGTTTGAAAAATATTTATAAAAATTAAATTGTAAAATATAACTAACAACCAGTCTATAAATAGGTGAAGGATAGGGGTTGGAGAGGAGGGTGTTTTGGCGCCTAAAGTTGGCCGAGCCCCGCCCGCCCTGGTATCGACCCTGTGAGTCCCCTAAAGGGGGGCATGGGAAATGGAAGGGGGTTGGGGGGCTGAGCACAACATCCGGCCCCACGCTTCCGGGAAACAAGAGGTGCAAACTTGCTATCCTATGTATCTACTGATAGGCTTTACACATTATAAAATATTAAATAAACATAAAGATGCATATAATGTATTTCAAGAACTTAGTTTTTGGTAAATTTAAGCAGAACTTATAATGGCATACCCTTTTATGAAGACCTAAACTTTCAATGCTGTTATTCTAAAATGTAAGTTACTTTCTTCGGACCGTGTCGTTAAGCGTTGTTACACTACTGACGATTCGGAGACTTTTCTACCTTCAGGCCGCAGATGCAGTATTGAAGGTACTACATATACTTATACTCGACTCGGATAAGGTGTATTGCCAGGAAGTAGTTTGTATTGTGCCTTTACTAACTGATCTGCACACTAATGTCTTTGCAATGTTGGCATCCAAATTGTTGTAATAGAAAATAATTAGAAAAATCGTAACACAAAACAAGAAAGGGGCCTAAGCATGGGTGCTACTTCAAAAATGTTTAGTTAAAAATGTTGGTGCAGATTATCACTTTCCATGCATGTTAAAAACAAGATAACTATCTCGTGATTCGAGAACAACATTGCTTATATTTTACAAGAAAGGGTCAAAGAATATCGGGTCGGCCGAGATCATACATCACCAAGGCTATTTGTGAAACATTTCTACAGCAACACATTGCAATACATTTCCTTGAATTGTGGGACTGAACAAATTGGTGAAACTCTTTGATCAACCGACGTAACAAAAAAATATACCTGTAAATCACCCACATACTTAATTCGCTTACGGTTTTAACTGAGTATGTGAAAATATTGATCGAAATTTTTTTAGGTGTCTGGAATAACCCAAATTCAAAACAAAAAACTTATATATAAAGGTTTAAAGCTTGATAAATTTAAAATACTACCTAACAAGTTAACATATCAACGTTGAAATACAGTAAATCTACCTGCAAACAAAAAAATCTGTATGAGGTTTTAAGTTTCAAAATGGATTTGTCAACACAAAACTAAACATTTTATAAGAGTATGTGCACATTTTTGCAGAAATTCCATTTTTTTCTTATTTTATGTTTGTAATATTAGACTTGCTGAAATATTTTATTAGTTTTAGTTAACTATTTTATGTTATTCACATTCTAGCCTTATGAATTAGGAGTTTTATTTTAGGATTTTAAATCTTGGACAATGACCATACCATATTTAAAATACTATTCATACTAATATAATAGCATTATCTAGTGAGCTGGACGTATTATAAAGAACTCTAGTTTAACAAGAATGTATAGGACTTATGGACCCAAGTGTTAGCTAAAGATTTATAAAAGTGCGCGCATAATCTTGTCTTTCGTACAAATCTCCGAAAGCAAAAACAATGGCTTTCGCTGCGGCTCGTATGATCCTTAAGGACAAAAGGAGGAAAACATCTAAAGAGGACTTCGCACCAAGGAGCAAAAGCAAGGTAACTAATTACTGTAATATTTTAACAATTTTTTAATATAAAACAATTAAAATTTGCTTATAGCTTATAGTATTACAACTTGGAATTTCACATAACGTCTTAAACAAACTAAAACGTTTTTTATTGTTAGATTCAATGGATTTAATTGCTTTACAAAACTGAAAAAAACCAATTTGGTATATTTTAAACAGTTCTTTCTCAGATATTATATTTTACAATAAATATTTTCGCTAATGTTAGCCACAAAGAAAATATTTTTAAAATAAAATCTACATTGTTAACATTACCGAGCTAGAAATTTAAACAAAAAAAACTGCGATTGTATTGTATTAACCATGGATTTGTATTATGAATGAGGCAGTGATTTTACCCCTCCCCCACACGTGTTAGAGGGGGGGGGGTCCCCATGGGTAAATGTGACGTTTAAATAATCTCATTTAGCAAATTAGGGTCTAGTTCAACCGGGAAATGGTAATAGTGCTTCTCTACTGCTGTGTGTCAGACGTACAAATGATTGCATCGTCACTTCGCAAGAGAAATGTAAGATTTTTCTATTTTCTCGAAACAATTATTTAAGAGAATTTTTCATTTTATAGTTTTATTGTTATTCGTCGTTTAACATAAAATTTTATTACTTCATTTTTTTATTTAAGCGCAATCTTCTGTCAAGGAGGTACTGTAATGTCGTTTTAATTGATCTGGTACAAAATCCGTTAATCCGAACACATTAGGTAAATTTTTCCCTTCGCATACTGATTTTACGTGAAAAGATTTTCTTATGAAAATAAAATTTTATTATAAGTCTGTGCAAATGCATTTCATCACACTGAATCGCTTATTCAAGTTAAAAAAGATATACAGTATAGATATATAGTTTGTGGCTCCTAATTTTCACAGATCAGCTTTAGTAGGCCTAATTACTGGTATAATCAAACTTTTCGAAATGAATATTTTAATTTATTATTTTGTTTGGTAATAGATATATAATATGTGTTAGTAAATAAATATCATAAACACCTTTATTTTAAATACTCTGACCGACGGATGATTTCATTTCCAGTATGTAAGCTATGAAGTAAAGCTCCCTAAATTTAATCTAAACACGCCGAAGCTGCCTTAGGCTAAAGTTCGCTGGTCTAACCAGATCCATTATAACTTAGCTTTCCTGACCAAAAGCTCAAAGTGGATGATAATGTAAAATTATCAAACATTTTATTCTATCTATATAAAAAGGTAATAAGGAACACGACGTTTTGAGAAAATCGCAAACATAAAAATCGAATGATTGAATAAAAGGCCCTGATGTTAAACTTGCTGGAATAAATATTAGCTTTTCAACAAACCCTCTCCAAAGAGCACGGACTATAAATTGAGGATCAAATTTTACCACATTAAAATGTTGAATATACGTCAGCTTTTTTAAATTTGTTTGGTTTATAAATGTCCGTTAACGTTTTCCTGAATTGAGCTAAAATAGAGACAGTATGTTTTAAATATAAAGTGGGATGGTATTTTCTTTTAGTCTTCATACCTTTTGATTTTTTAAACTAAATGTTCTACTGTTCACATAAAAATCTATGTTGAACACAGTACTTTTGCATTTAAAAAATGTTTAGTTTAACTACTTGGAACAAGAACCATATATTTTGGAAGGAAACTTATGTTTACCAGCTGGTAAAAGATAAATCATCTAATAGAGTATTTGGGAATTGCATTCATTATAATATTACTCTATTTTACACTTACCTTACATTCATAATTAACATTACAAACAACTGTTGGTAGTAAACGTAAAACCTTTTCAACGAAGAGAAACATGGGCTGGCTTAAAAGAAACCAGTGTTGGGCAAGCATAAATAAAAATATTTCATTGAAACAAAATTGTTTTTTTGTTTGTTAATTGATTGTTTAATGGGGGTGTGGCGCCCACTTTTTCCAGTATTTCCCTATGAAAAAAAGTTTCCTGATAAAATTCCGCTTGTTAGTTCAAAAGTTACAAGAGAACAAAAAAGTTTTAAATTTTAGCTTGGTTGATTTAAATTGACACAAAAAATTAAAACTATTAATCTGCTAGTCGATCTGAAGCTATTTAAAACGCGAGGCCTTACTTGGAGAATTAAATTAAACTTAATTAAACTAAAGGAAAAACAGCAATGTTCTTCTGTGTTATGCTTATGTGTAATGCTCATCCCGTTGCGAAGCACAAGTAAAGCAACTAGTACAGTATAGAACCCTAATGAACACTTAAACTTAGGCTATATAATTAAATGTAAGTACAAATTAAATACTTGGGTTTTCCTAGTTTACTCTTATACGAGACAATCTAACTACTATTAGTATACTGTGTACTTTGTTCTACCATTCAAGTTAACAATATCATGGTGATGATTAATTAGCTCTTCATTTTTTAATAGTAAAATATATAGTAAACGTTCTTTTCCAAAAAGAATATTAAAAAACACGTATATTTGTGGGTTCAAGAAAGTTAAGTATACATATGAATTACGTTAATGTATTTTTACATGTTATACATTTTCTTGTTGATTGCAATGTAAAATATCAATGTGATAGCACTTAAATAAATGAGTTAGCAATGAATATGTTCGCAATGTCTACAACAAGAAGAAAACAAGACCATTAACATCTAGAGTAATTGATTTCTGTTGGAAGACACTAAGTCCATTCATTGGTTGGTGCTACCAAATAGCTAGAGACTTGCAATTCCTTTGTTGTCTACATAATGAATTTTATACTTAAAATCTTAAACCAGTAAACATTATTAAGTATATTTTCAAGTTTTTTTTTAGTCGTTGGTTCATTGTAAATGCAACAGACGTTTGCGAACATTGCCCATTAAAGTTAATGTGTCAATGCATCCTCTGGTAAGAAATATCGCAATGAGTACCTATTGCATAAAAATGTTGGTGTTGAGAAACACAATTATTGCTGAAAACATTAGACATTGTTGCATGGATCAAATGCAAAACTAAAAAAATATAAATATAAAACATACTCATTACACAATCAGGAACTCAAAGTCAAGAACTTAAACCTTTGGGGCTTGGGCTTAAGCTAATATTTTAATTTAGTCTTGAAGAAGGTATTTAATATTCATTTCAAATTTAAAAAACTTGAAAGGTTCAGGAGTTTTTGCATAGTGACTTTTGTTTTATGTTATGACGTAACCAAGATAGAATACTGTATATGTTTTTTTATCTAATGCCTGATTTTCAGATGGCGTTGATTAAGATTTACATAATAATAGTTGAAGAGTAAAATAGGGGAATAGACTATTTGTCATTGTAGAGATGAAGCTATAATACCAATAATCTAATTGACGTTTTACAAATACTTATTTATAATAAGTTTTAAAGTATTTACTTTAATTAATTTAATAACTAAGTCATCTATATTTCTCTAAAACACACTTTATAACCTTTCCTGTAGCAACAAACTCAAGTCCTCATTAAACTTGTATTATAAATCTGACAGCTCTAAGGGAGTATTCGAATGGAAATCCAATCAGGCAAATGAAAATTCAATTAGTCTGCAGGTTTGCAGTGGCGGGGGTATTGTTAAAACTGGTGGTGTCAAAGCAAAATAATAAAACAGGATCAAATTTAAGAGATAATTTAAACAGAAATTCACTATATTGCAACGGTTTCTTGAGAGAATTTACAAACTAAATATCACTATACAACTCTATTGTTCATTATAGTGATAAAGTAACCAATAATCGTTTCCATGATGACAGTATTCAAACAAAAGATGAGCGAGTGGTAGATATTAGTTGCAAACTCATATCAATCTTTGTCATTGAGACAGGTGTCGGCGTCATCATCAACTTGCGAGATGTAAATATATGGAGAGCGCCAACCGTGTCGACTTTAATCCACTGAAAAATTATTTATTATTACCTAGCCCAATGAAAATTTAAGCTTACATACCTAAATAAATGCAATGTTTTTGTATAAATAGCATTTAAAATTATTTAATTAAGTTAGTAGAAATTGACTTGGAGGGATTCTATGCGATTATTCTATAATGGCTAGTATACTTGATAATAAATTTAGTGGTGACCACAGGTACAAAATACAGCATTATCTTGCCTTATCAGCCCAGGACGCTATCACTAAGCTACCGTGTTGGTTTTGTAAAGATTAGGAACTATAGATTGCAGTTTTAGGTATTGTGATTACCCAAACATAAGTAATAAATAGGCAAAATGAGTACTGCCATAAAAGTAAACGTATATAACTAAACATATTCCTTTTTAAATCAATCGTAAAACAGAAACTACAAGTTTAGTGGACTTTTTTACCCTCATCCAACAGAAAGGTTGCATGTGAAAGATGTAGTTGCACGATTATGAAATAAATTTTTAGACAACTAATAGGAATTTGAACTAGTCTTTTGCACTGATTCTGTTGCTGCAGAGTTGTGTTCTTGGATCTCCGCTGACTTTAAACACTTTCGAACAGAGAATCTTTTTTTTAATGTCTGAAGAAAACAGTGCTAATAATTGACTTTTTATTGTAAGTGACGCTTACCTATGCTCGTAATGATATTACGACAGTAAATATAATTTCATGTACAAATACCCATAAATAAAACCGTAGGCGAAATAGTTAATTTCTCTAAGTAAATTTATCTTGCGCATTGCGACTCGGACCAGAGTATAAATGCTTGCTTTGAATATGTAAAGCGAATGACAATGAAGCCTCTTACCCCGGCTGGCTTTATATAAATAATATGTAAATGAGCTCAGTGTCCATTCAACTACTTGTATGCTCACACACGCTCCAAGGCCCGACGGTCAGTTTAACACATTATTTAAAACATAGAATTGAGGATTGTATAGATTTCTTCAGATTTTAGTAGCAAAGATACTTGAAGTTATTGTTGATGTTTCTTGACAGTATAGGCATTTGCTGAATTTAATAAATGAATAATATAGGTTTACATTGAGAAAATTAATACAATGAAATTAATAAGTCCCA